TGTCGGGATAATGCTTCTAGTAAGTTTAGCTTGCTCCAGTACTCTCCATTGTATGATATTAACTGAACTTCCTGGATCCACTAAAACACGTTTAATTCTAAAATCTAACACATTTAAAGAAATTACTAGTGCGTCATTGTGCGGTAGCAGTAATCCGTCTGCATCTTCGTCCGTAAATATGATATCATCTTCCTGGAGCCTTTTACTATGAGTTATCGATACTTTTGTCTTCTTCGCTGCCGAAAAGGTGACCCCGTTAATTTCATTTCCTCTGAAGATCATGTTGATCGTTTGGCGTGGGGTTTCTTCTCATGCTTTCTAGGTTTCTGCGTCGCCCCTGTTCCGGCCATAATTGTTTTTAGCTCGGTCACTCAAGAATTCTCTGAGGTGACGATTCTTTAACAGTGTTGCCACTTCATCCCAGAGATGTTGGCAGTCCCCAGTCCGGTGGCCGTTAGTGCCATAGTATTCATACCATAAATTGGGATCCCTCTGGCTGGGATCAAATTTCATAGGTCTTGGAAATCATACCTCTTTGATATTTCTCATGGCTGATATCAACTCTACCACACTGACGTTTAAGTTATACTCCGACAACTTTGGGTAAGAAGAATCTCGCGACCCCGAGATTTCTCTATCTTGTAGCGATCTATTGTTCCGGCCACGATTAATTCTTCTATCAATAGTGAACTTGTCTGCTGCCCGGAAGCTCCTGCCATAACCTTTTGTCCGCTCGTAGGGCAAAAACCGGTCCCTCGAAGTCCGTCTATCCGTGTTAATATCATTTTTCGGTTTTTCTCCATTCTTCTCCTGTCCTTTGGTCGACAATGGAAAGCCAACCTGATCATCTTCGATCCTTATTTTTGACTCGTACCGGTTGTGGACATCCGCCCAAGTCGTCGCTTGAAACTCGAGCAGACTTTCCTTTAACTTCCGGGAAGCGTCCGAACTTCTCTGATTTAAACCTTTGGTGAACGCTTCATCCGCCCATTCATCCGGGACTGCCAGTAGTAACATCCTTTCCTTCTAGAACCGGGTAACGAACTCTCATAATAATTCAGATTCTCCCTGCGCGATCATGAATATGTCGGCCTTTCAGGCTTGTACCTTTATGGCACCGACATGAGCTTTGATGAAAGAATCTGCAAGCATCTCAAAGGAATCTATGGAATGCTGGGCAATAATGAATACCACGTTAAAGCTCCCCTCATGAGAGTCTCACCAAATGTTTTCAGCAACATTGACTCAATTTCGTGAGAAGCCAAATCATTTCCTTTCACTGTTGTTGTGTAGGTGGTAATGTGCTCCTGTGGATATCAAGTTCCATCATACTTCGGCATTTTGAATCGCTTCGGGATTAATTCCGAGGCCGCACTCCATTTGTACGGTAATTAAATATACTTCTTCGAGTTCGGGCCTTTCAATACTGGTGGTGTGCCCAGGATTTGATCCATGCGGGGCGTTTACTTCCTTCATGAACAACAAAAGTTCCTCCTTGAACGGATCGTTACTGTTGTTGAGGCCGGATCTACTCCCCCCGGCCCCGTCGGAGCCAACCTCATCTCTGGGAGTGTTGTTGTCGATTCTCTGCGTTGTTTGGTTTGCGGGAACATCGGGAGGAATTGGATCTCGCCTATTCACATTATTTGAAGCACCTGATAGCCCCTACTTTAGTTCCATCATAACCTGATCTTGCCGCGTGAGATGGCCTAGAATGATTGCATGTTGCTCTTGCAGGACCCACACTGCATCCGCTACATGCTCCTCATTAGCATCATCAGGAGTCGTCTCCCGAACCTGTCGAGGGTACCGCCCGTCATGCACTGGTGTGGCATTATTCCCCTTATTGCGAGTGTCATTGATTGAATCCTCGAAATGAGGCTGCTCCCCTTGAATTTCAGGGCTGCATGTGCCATTAGCAGTGTTATCTGCTATTTCTTTTGTGATTTTTGCTAAGACAAAATAATCAAACACGTTAGTAAGAAAGGCAAGGATCAATTTAATCGCACGACTGTCTAGACCCCACGGTGGCGCCAAACTGTTTACCCGTAAAACGGTACAGTTGAATTTATTCGTGATTTTTAGACAAGTGAATTAATTTGATCCAAAAGATAATAAAATAACTGATAAAATATAAAATACTTAGCCTTAGAATGTAGATGGAACGACATAACTGATGAGTCCGGGAACAGAGTTTTCGGGCACAATAATGATGAGATCAAAAGCGAGAAGATAAAATTGTATTAAAATGATGTATAGGATGTAATGTAAGTTAGCCAGAAAATTCGTATCCTTTACAATGATAACTGAGCTCTCTATTTATAGCTATGTCTAGTGAAGGAAGTCCTAGGATCATGCCCTTCTTTAATGTCAATTATGAGGGCTATTGATGAAGATGTAACGTTAGACATAAAGGCCAAATTCCTTGTAACAGGCCATCATCCTTAATGCTGCAAAATATTTTGTATTAAATATTACCGGATGTAAAGCATTCAATACTCCTTTTATGATCATTATTCCTTCCGGTGACAAGTGGAATAGCTATTTTCGGTGGTCATTCCCATCTTGTGTTCCACGTGTCCTTCATTTAAGCGAACACGTGTCATGTCGTATTTGTTTCTATATGGGTATAAGATCTAGAAACCTAGTACATGGAAATAAAGTTACTTTGTTTATCACGTTTATTAAATGTTTTAGAAAACAATAATTAAATATTTTTCCCATGATATTTGGACGTTTGTCCTCGTGGCCACTGAAGTAAGATGAAATTCATAGAGACTTCGGTTCAAATTCAAGTAAAAATAATTTTTGGCAGCCAAAATTATTCGATACATTTGGTAGAATATTATAGGTACCAGCTGAAATAATCGCGATATCGCAAACTTGCCTCAACAACATCATTAAGAAAAGAAAATATATTTGGACATCTGAGCAAAAACCAACCTAACTTAATTAGTTTGTCAAATACTTAATAATTAGTATCTTTTGCTCTCAAAATATTTATCACATTTTACTTATCAGAGTCGAAGCAAGTAAAATTCGATCAATATTTTAAAGGGAAAAAGGCTAGATTTGTCCCTCTACTTTCGTATATAATTTATATTTATCCTCCGTTTCACTTTTCGTTCAAATCCGTCCCTACCGTTAGCAAAGTAAACAAAAATATCCTCAACCATAACGGTTGTCCACCGTGGCAACCCAGTGCCTCAAAATTATAAACGTGTCATTTTCTTATTGGACATGTTTTAAAGCTTCTTTTCTTAATAATTTCTCTTATTTTAAAATATATTTTTATTAGTGGGTCCCAATTTCCATTTATTTTTCTCTCTTTTTTTTTGTCTCAGCTCCTCAGACAAACCCAAAACGCGCCACCACCGGACGGTATTGGTGGTGGGTCTGTTTTACCTTCCCACTTCCCACAAATATTTTACTTTCTTAGATCAAAATTATCATTCATGAAGATTACTGGCTTAGTGTAATCCTTCTCAAGCAGAGCCTTTTGTCCTTCCACATATACGTTTGCAACTTCTTCCATGGCAATATATATGGTTCACTCCACCGTCCACAAACTGATGAGCAATGAAAATATCAAAAAGATTTAATGTATTATAAAAGGGTGAATTCAAAAAAATATTCAAGTTGAAAATTGGCAGCTTATAAAAAGTGAATTAAATACAAAGAAATTTGCAACTGCTGAGGAGAATGGGCTTGCGCTGGTGGTAGCAAGAATTGAAAACTTAAAGCATGTTTGTTGTACTGGCTCTTGAAGCCTCTAAAAATCTCATTAATTCTACTTACTTCATAAAAAGAAAAAGAAAAAAAGAAAGTAAGGGATTCATACATGAAAGAAGAAATAATCTTCCAAAGTTAAAATCATGTGTGGTTTTCAGAAAAATAATTTCCATTCACCTTGCGTTGATTAAAGGACTCTGTGTGAAGAGAGATGAAAAAGAAAGAGAACGGAAAAAAATAAATAGGAAGAGGGACCCACCAATAAAAATGTATTTCAAAATAAGAGAAATTATTAAGAAAAGAAGCTTTAAAACGTGTCCAATAAGGAAATGACACTTGTATAACTTTGAGTGACTAGGTTGCCACAGTGGACAACCGTTAGGATTGAGGGTATTTTTGTTTACTTTGCTAACGATAGGGACGGATTTAAACGAAAAGTGAAACGGAGGATAAATATAAACTATATACGAAAGTACAGGGGCAAATCCAACCTTTTTCCCTATTTTAAACTATATTTATTCACATTTTGATATGAGAAAAGTATCAATTTATAGTACTAATATATTTTATGTAACTTCTATATATTTCAACTTTAATTAGAAACTAGTTAACTTAATTTGATTTAGTTCTGAAAATAACCTTGAAATATAAAATGAACAAACAAGGACAACATTAAGTATTTACGATTTATCTAGAATTTTAACTACCTTATTAAGTAGTATAATTTATAAGTAATAGTAAAAATCAGATATACTGGAATATCTCGAAAAGGGAGATCATCTCAACAATTTCATAAACTCCCGGAATATGCACAAAGAAATCAAATATACGATCATGTCAAATATGTCTTGCTTAAAGTTTTAGCAACATTCAAGATCAAAATGGAGTGTTGTTATATGCTTCTTGATCATCAAATAGCAACACTCAAGATCCAAATAGAGTGTTGTTAACACTCAAGATCCAAATGGAGTGTTGTTACATGTTTCTTGATCATCAAATACATCAAGAAGATCCATATGATCTTACGTTCGAGAAATACGTCGCTAAAACCTGCGAATTGCGGATAACAAATCAGAGGGAAGAATAAGGAATAAACAGAATTATAACTTATCAATAAAATCCTTTTTTCTTTTAAAAAAAAATAAATATACTGGAATGTAAACTTTCAGATTGACAGTAATAAAATTCAGTTTTTTAGTATTTTGTAATTACGGACCAGCTACTGCTCTTTACACAAACTTTTTATCCATTTATTATAAATAAATTATTCTAGCGTATAAATAGTAGCTCAAAAGGGTTTCCACAATTTTCCCACAGCCAGCTTTGCTCGAGCTACTGCGACTGCTGCTTCCAACAGGTAACGTGTACCCTTCTTCTCTCTTAAAATTAGCTTGAATTTTCATAGTTTAGCTTCTAATTCTAATATGGGGTTTATTCTATTAAACTAATTAATTGTTTGAATCACTCTAAAATAATTGATAGGAAGTGATTTGCTTGGATTCTTGAATTTTTTGTATTTTAGCTTCCCAGTATCTTCAATTGATTGTCTTATTTGTGGGTTGATTTACTGTAGATTTTTCTGCTGTATCAATCTTGATGATAGTACTATATGTGTGGGAAATCATTACTAGAGCTATGGTTGAATAAGATTCTCGATTTTTTTTTTTTATTATTATTATTATTATTTTGATGACGGTGATATCTAGGCCAGCTAGCACGCACCTCGAATTTCACTAGATACCTGCAACCTACCGTCAGCACAAGTACCGGATAACTCTCTCCCTACCAAGGCTTAGGCAGATGGAAAAAAATTACCTAGTATTTTTTTTTGTTTTCGCTGAGATTTGAACTTGAGATCTCGTGGTTCTCCTCCCACTTCTTTGACCACTAAAATAAGATTCACGATTTATGTAATGACATCCAAATGAATATGTGAAGGAGGCAATCTCTTTTTGTTCTGGTTTTATGGTTTGCAGAATATCGAAAAAGTAGTAGTTTTAGTTAGTGTAAAAACTTGATTGGGAAATAGTTTTGGTTAGATTTTGATAAACAAAACCTGATTGGATAACTCCTGTTGATAAAAGGAGTTTTTTTTAATACATCTAGTTATCTTTAAGGCTAGTGGTGAAAAAAGTTTGTTTATTGATGATTCCATGGAAATTTTATATTGTCTTCTACCTGCGTGCAATAATTATATTGGTCTTGTGAGGTACCTCTGTTGTTCTAGGGTTGTTTCTTCAGAGATTTATAGAAGTGCTTTGTCCTTAACATTGGAAACCTGGTGTACATTTCAACCTAGAGACATGAGTTCTGATTTTCTACTTATTGTATTGCTGAACTTACATTTCTTTGCTCGGGCAGTTGCTCATGACTAGGAAACCTCTCTACTACATGAACTTTTGTAGTATTTAAAATTTTGAATTGTATTGGTATGAAATCTCCTCTTACAACCAAAATATCTCCGTCAAAATAGATCATAAGTGATATTGAACCATCTGTATGAGTTATTAACATACATATCATACCCATTTGATGGAAGTATTGAGCCAGATGAAGAGTCCAGGCACTAGTACTCGTAATTCGACACGGGGCTGGTAGCTGCTAATTCTTAAGACGCATATTGTCCTGTTGTACTCCTCTTCTATATTTCAAGGGATGGCGTTCGTTTTTTGGTAGTGAGGGGTGGGTTGGTTGGGTTTAACTAATATATACTCATTTGTGTTTGATCAATTTTAATTTTGCGGGAAGACATAGCTGAATAGCTTATATATATCTAGAACTCAGCGTATGGCATATGGAACATGTCAACTCAAGATAAACCAATAAGATTTCAGGTTATTGTGTACACAGTTCGTAATGGCAGAAAAAATGCTGTTGGATGACTAAATGCTATTTTCCCACTATACCATGTTGACAGCTAATGCACCTCAAGCCTCAAGGGTGCTGAAAAATGTGTATTATCTGTTTTAATTAGTTTTGATTGTTTAGGCGGGATTGTGAATATTTTTGCTCATTAATGAAGGTCCTTAATTGAAATCTCAGAAATAAGTACTTCAGAACGCACCTGTAGTTTCTAGTCTTACATTATGTTTTTCCTTTATCTCCTGAATTTTACATTCATGGTCGATGTGGACTCTAATTTGTGTTCAATATGCCTCCTAGGTCAGATTAATTTGTAACTCAGCTTGTGGTAGTAGCAGTTTGCAATGGCAGATGGCCAAGAAAATGACAAGAATATTGAGATATGGAAAATGAAAAAGTTAATCAAAGCCATGGAATCTGCAAGAGGAAACGGTACCAGTATGATCTCTCTTATTATACCTCCTGGTGATCAGATATCTCGGATAACAAGGATGTTGGCAGAAGAATATGGTACTGCATCCAATATTAAGAGCAGAGTAAATCGTCAGTCCGTCCTTGGTGCAATAACGTCTGCCCAACAGAGGCTTAAGCTGTATAATAAGGTACCTCCTAATGGGTTGGTCCTTTATACTGGAACTATAATGACTGACGATGGGAAGGAAAAGAAGGTCACCTTTGACCTTACACCTTTTAAGCCAATAAATGCGTCTCTGTACCTATGTGACAACAAGTTTCATACGGAACCTCTGGGCGAGCTCTTGGAATCAGATGAGAAGTTTGGTTTCATTGTCATGGATGGTAATGGCACTCTTTTTGGAACCTTAAGTGGCAACACCAGGGAAGTCCTTCATAAATTCACTGTTGACCTTCCTAAGAAGCATGGAAGAGGAGGTCAATCAGCTCTGCGATTTGCTCGTCTTCGAATGGAGAAACGTCATAACTATGTGAGGAAGACAGCAGAGCTTGCTACTCAGTTCTTCATTAATCCAGCCACTAGTCAGCCAAATGTATCTGGACTAATACTTGCTGGGTCAGCTGATTTCAAGACAGAGCTGAGCCAGTCTGATATGTTTGATCAACGCCTACAAACAAAGATACTTAATGTGGTTGATGTGTCCTATGGTGGGGAAAATGGATTCAATCAGGCTATTGAGCTATCTGCTGAGATTCTTGCGAATGTGAAGTTTATACAAGAAAAGCGCTTGATAGGGAAATTCTTTGAGGAGATCAGTCAAGATACTGGAAAGTATGTATTTGGTGTGGATGACACAATAAAAGCTCTTGAGATGGGAGCTGTTGAAACTCTTGTTGTTTGGGAAAATCTTGATATAAACCGTTATGCGCTGAAAAATAGTGTTACTAATGAGATTGTCATTAGGCACCTAAACAAGGACCAAGAGGCTGATCACAGCAACTTCAAGGATCCTGACACCTCAGCTGAATTGGAGGTCCAGGACAAAATGCCACTATTGGAGTGGTTTGCCAATGAGTACAAAAACTTTGGTTGTTCACTTGAGTTTGTCACTAATAGGTCTCAAGAGGGGTCACAGTTCTGTCGAGGATTTGGTGGCATTGGGGGGATCCTTCGCTACCAGCTTGACATGCGTTCGTTTGATGAGCCATCTGATGAAGGAGAATATTTTGAGGATTCTGATTAAGCTTTATCTCGTCTCCTTAGTCCTGACGATGGATAAGAGATGCAATTTGTTGAAAGTTTTGAGGTTACCTAGTAATGAGTTTCCTGCTATCATGCTGAATATCAATCACTGAGTTTTGGCTGTTGTTAAAAATTGTTTGCTTTTCTTTTACATGTGAAACAGGTTTCTGTGGGACTATCTTCAATTCGAAAGGGGACTTCTTATTGTTTATGAGCCTACCTACCTTATTACTGTATGTTTGTTATGGCTCTCTTGAGCTATGTTTATTCATAGTGGAACTTAAATCGCTACACTTACTGTCAGAACCAAGTCATTCTTCTAAACATTAAGAAGATTAAGTACTAAGTTGTGGAGTCTAGAAAGATGTTTAGGTACCATATCGATGTAGGAGCTGTTTAAATGCCTTTTACATTGGCATGTTTTGTCATTTCTTTACAGACCAGGAGATAGGTAATATCAGTAGACCTATGCCTTAGAGTTGTAAATTTGCTAGATTGGTCTGTCCTTTTCAATGGAGCTACCAGAAAATATACATTTTTCTCCACTAACCAGGTAGGTTCATTACCTTTAGTTTTAACCTATGGTGGGGGGTGGATTGGGGATGCACTTAATTCTGCAGTTTCTCTTAGAAAATGGAACAAGGATAAATCTGTTTGAAGTTAAAGACCAGTGGCACACAAATTGCAGTTTGAAATGTGGTCTATCTTTTGATAATCCAGTTCTAAGTGGGAATGCATGTGATGATGGTTGTGTATGTGACATCTCAACACTTCATGTGCTTGGATGTGAATTTCTTGATAATGTCTCATATCTTGTCATCGGAAAGATGTTAGGATGAAGCAGTATCCAAATTGTAAGTCGATAATGCATGTGTATATGTTTCTTCGATGCCTTAACATCCAGTGATATAGGGCACGAGAAAATTGATGTCAAGCTAGAGATCTTTCCTTACAGCAATGAAGTAAAACTTCTTAGCAATTTGATGAGGGTGTTGAAACTTATCATTATAAATTGGCAGTGAGTCTGTTTTGTTGGTTCCAGGAGCAAGAGAGAAGAAATATAGACTGGCCATGTAAAGAGATCTTCTGCATCTCTTGTTGTCAACCTTAAAAATTATGCTTTTGCTGTGCAATGCATGCTGAGTAGTTCTTTTTCAGTTTACTTTTGGATTGATTGCTTAGAGTTACACCGATAACTTGTCAAGTTTCCAGGTCTTGATTTAATGTCAGTTTTCTGCATTTAGTTGTGGCAATGAAGCTTAATTAGATGCAACGGGTTTGACCGAACTCGCTGCGTCTACGCTAGATGGGCCACTGCTTGTGGATTCAACCTGTTTGACAGGCAGCAAAGTTGTGGTTCCAGGAAAGGATGCTTCCTTGTATGCTGTATTTTATAAGCCTAATCATGCATGTTGTACATTGCATGCTTCCTTGTGTTAACTGTATCAGCCTAATTATGTAGTTGTACATTTGCATGTTCCTAGTTCTTTCATATGCAAAAGGATTTCAAAAACTTTGATCAAAAGAGTCCCCACATCTCCCCACCCACACCAAATCCTCTTTCTCTACCACTCTTTTAAATGCAATATTGGCAGACTACTGTAGAAAGCAGGTGGTCGGATTGTGCTTCTTTTGGACAATGGATGATGGTGATGTGACAAGAACTAATTGAATGACCAACAAATGTTGTTGCGGTGAAATAGTAAGTACTTTTTTATTCTTAACTAAAGTCTGGAATATCAGCAACGTTTTACCTCCGATCAGAAGCGGACTTAGGGAGGCACTAATATTCTGCTCAACCAGTGTCCCTAAATATATATAAAAAAGATTTCTGCCGAAGTTTACGGGATATGGTAACCCCTCAAGATTACACATAGGTTTGCCTCTGCTTACAATATAGGACTTCCCGGCTCAATTCCGGACTTAGTCGGGCCTCAATACGAGTAAACGACACGGTGAAACCAGAAAAAAAGAAAAAATAAAAAAGAATTTGGTGTCAGTTAATAGTGACCTCATTTTGGATGAGGCACTGTTTTGTTTTCCTATATGCATGTGCAAAATTGGTACAACTATTCATTATAAAGCAATGTTGTCATGGTTCCTTTTCAATGATGAAATAGTCAAATAGTTTCTCTGTTTGCTTCCTTTTCAATACAGCACTGTTTGAGGAATTCGTGCTTCTATTTTTTACTGAGTACCTTAGCCTCGTAAAAGGAGTGCAAGAGGAAAAATAGGGGGTTGAGAAAGCATGTTGGTAGTCTTGATTTTTTTTACTGCTTTCTCGTAATCATTGCTATTTGTTCAGAATTGATTTATCCTCGTCGTGCTGCGAACAAGATACTATCTCCCTTCCATATTATTTGTTTTTTTAAAGTTTTTGCGTACTTCTAAGAAAAATATTTGACAACTTTAATAATAAAAGTATTAAAATGCTCAATTTAGTTTTTTAACATCTCATTTACTTAACACTTCACTAATTGAAACAATAAGAGTAAAACTAAATGATTTTTCTTGAAATGTCAAAATATTTTGAAACAAATTCGATTGACTGAAAAAGACAAATATTTGAAGCAGGAGAAGAATCTTACGCATACAAGATAGGACTGTCACTAGGTAAGTTGGATTATCTAATTAACAAATCATGCCAAACCAAGATTTACAGCTTCACAAATCACAATTTATGCTTTCATAATGCACCTTTCACAAACCATGTTATTTTTATACAATTTTCAGCATCTCCCTTTGAATATCATGTAAAATGCATGGCATAACTCTTAAAGTCAGAGAAAATGGTCCAAACAATAGTGGGCAATATAGTTGAAAGACAAGACATTGGGTACAACATGGTCCTAACTTCTATAATCCTCGTTATCCAGGCTGTATAGAAAACTACTTTTAACTGATTCTCATTCACACCACATAATTAATCACATCATTAGAGATTTTTGGCACAAATTCCTATCAATGAACACATGCTTCTTCTTTTGATGTTGTATATCAATGATATACACCTTAATCTTCATTCTCTAACTATTGTGCTTCATTTAATGTTGCCAAACATTATCTTGATCGTGACATTGACAAGACAGAAAAGTTAGTGTTTGTAGGTTTGTGAAATTCAATCAACACATGCCTGTAGAAAATTTATGATGTATGAGCCGTTTCGCATGTGAAGTCGAAGGTTTACCATAAACAACCTTTTACGTGCACAAGGAAGGGGCAAAGTCTGTGTACATATTATTCTTTCAAAATCTAGTTTGTGATATTACACTGGATATATTATAGTTGGGCCGTTTCCCGTGTAAAGCCGAAGGCTTATCGGAAACATCGTCTCTAAGGAGAAGGTCTACATACATACTATCTTTTATTCGAGATCCATTTATGAGATTACCCTGAATATATTATTGTTGAGCCGTTTCCTGTGTGGTAGAATGATATTTTGCGAAACTCATTGAATGGTAGTATCATGATATTTTGCTAAAAGTAACATCACTCTAATGGAATGCACGAGAAGGACCAATGGATTAGGTTGGTGATATTCACTGCATTTATGGGGTATTCGCTTAGAGACGAATCCAGCATTTACTGAATTATGTATTATGAAAATTATGAGTAGAAAAGTTGACATATTTTTTTTTAAAAAAAAATTGTTAAAAATACTGAATTACCTATTGAACATAACCTCCATTTACCTTTGATCCACCTAATCTCAAGTTAATTTGGAGTATACATGTTGGAATTTATGTTAGTGCAAGGGATGGGATTAAAAAGGGAGAAAATGTGATGGATATTTATTTGCAATATGTATATTTTTTCCCTTTAACCTAAACAATTAATAATTTACACAAAATGACAGTTGAGTAGTTATCATCCTAAGGAACTACTCCCCCTCTTTTCTTGCTCCTCAATCTCCTTATGTCCTATTGAAGTCCGAGGAGAAGAGAAAGAAGAAGCAGCAGAAGAATAAGTAGTAAATGAATCAGAAGTACAATTAGTTGGAGGAATTATAGAAAACTCAACAAGCAAATCTACAAAAGCACCTACAATAAATCCATGATTTACTTTCCCGTTCATCTTTAAATACCATCCTAATAACTCTTGTAATGATTTCCAAGAATCTTTAATCCCATGTGTTTCCACCATTTCTTCCATTGATTTCTTGAAATCTAAATATGGATCCTCTGATTCCATAGCCAATGCTACACTTTCTTTAAATGGCAAGTCTTCATCTTCTTCTTTTGCTTCTTCTACTTTCCCTAGTGCTTGTTCTTGATTTTGACTTGGTTTTTGTTCATTCAAAATTGAGCTAGTACAATTTGGCTCAAAGAAAAGCCTTTCTGAACGAACCCCTTTTATGATCATTTCCAATGGTTCACCTGTTCCTAACAAATCATCAGATTCTGTTGAAAAACTAGCTGATTCTGAAGAATTTGTGAACCAAGATTCTGGTGTTTCAATATTTTCAACCCCATGATCAGAAGGGTCAAAAAACACTGAATTTATAGTCTTGAAAATCTTGTTGTCATTTGCTCTAAAAGATAGAGTCTTGGAATTTGCACAAGATGGCCATTGCCATGAACCAAGATTCATTTTCTTGCCCATAATAATAGCTTAGTACCCCTTGTTATATTTGATCAAGAATCTAACTTTTTTGGGTAGTTTGTAGAGTCGTTTTTGGGATGGAAAAAAGTTGTGATTTTTTTGAGGTATTAATGGTGTGATAAAAAGGAATAGCAAAAGGGAAGGGAGATATAAAGGAGAGGTGAGAGGAAAGTGGAGAGGAAATGGGGGGTGGTAGGTCCATTCATGTGTGTTATTTAATTTGTATGTATTGAAGAATTTAATGGTTTTAAATGCAGTATCACGAAGAAATGAACATAGCAGCACATTTATTGCAACATAAATTATGAAATTCTAATTGCATTTTTTAAATGAATTTTTATAATCAAGTTTGCTAAGCCAACAAAATGCAGGAAGCCTCCTTATAATTTAATTTCCTAATCTAATCATGAGCAAGTTCTTATTTGCTAAGCCTCTTTATGGAAGATATGTACCTGCAGCTACATCATATGCAATAATACAATTAGATTATCTTGTTTTATACTATTTGATTTAATTAAACTCTATTTTTTTCGTTTGTGCTTTTGGAAACAAACATTTGTTTCACTCATTTGTCTTTTTATTTTATAATCATGGTGTTCGAGTCAGTTTATTCGTATCTCATCTGAATTTACTGTGCACCTGCTACCTCCCACAAGCTAACTCATTTGTTCAATTCATTTGTGGTTATC